AGGAATTGCCCACTTATCCCCATCTGAGAGACAGGTACTTCCAGGAAATGGATGAAACCAGCTGCCAAGCTGAGCTATGGGCCTCAGGACAAGGGGCAGCTAGAGGCCATCTCTAGATGCAGCTGGGGAATCGCTGGGGATTTTGGCAGGTGGCTTGAGCAAGCTGGACAGGCTGCACTGAACCCAACTCCACTGATTCTACTTCAGGTGTAGCCAGCTGTGTATAATGAAACACTTCTCCCACAATTGGAGTCCGTCTGGCACAGCTCATCATTGCCATTAGATTCACTTCCAAGGAAAGAGTTGAATGGCCTTTAATCTTGCACTACAAAATGCCATCGCTACCCAGTAGCACATTTTCATTTCTAGTGGTAAGCATATCATACCTCCTAGCCCACATATGACGTAGCTGAAACAAAGAGGACTTGGTGAAAGTCATAGAGCAAATCCGTGTGGGAGAGAAGAAAATAATTTGGTTACTTGATTTCCAGCCCATCAGCTATACATATTTCCTACCATTCATGGTGTGAACTTTACACTTCAGCTCTCCTTTAAGGAACAGACACTTAATTTGAGCCATAATATTCTATGGCTACTTAAAGCAGTGATTCCCATCTATACTGCAGTCCTATTGGCAATCTCTTCAAGTATTTTTGCATCCTATTTTCTCTCACCTTTCCATCACGATACTCTATTTTTTCCTGCACCTCTTCCTTGCTTTTTCTTCTTCCTTGATGTAACATTGACCTTCTAGACAATACTGATTTTGGAGGCTATATTATGAAAACAACAGTCTGTTATATAAATGGAAATGTTTTTAAATTATCTTCATTAATTTTAATCAACTGTGCAAGAAACAAATTTACTTTTGAACACAAAGGAAAGCTGCCCTTCTTTCTGGCATTGCCTTGCATTTGCAATAAATTTTGTTCTTTTAGCAATAACTAGAAATGTTGCACATTAACTCCAGATGACTTCAGTTTGCAAAGCAAAAGATAGCATAGAGAAAGTCCAAAAATGAGGTGACAAGAGTACATTCTGGTGAAACTACACTATAGGGAATGGAGAGAATAAACACAAGAACAAAGAACAGAACTATCTCTGCATATTGGGTTATTGATTTGCAAAGAAAGGTACCTGTATTAGCTATATCCATTCTTCCACAACAAATTACATGGTTCTTAGCTGTAGGTAATGCTAACTATGTAGCTACGGGATATGCAGGATGTTACACATCCAAGTTACCATTACAATGACTGCTCTTTGCACTGTCTGGCAGCATGAAGGAGCCTTCAGTTAATTGACATCTGGCACACAGCATCCAGAACAGTTACTAACTAATGTTAATTACAATTTGAAGATGTGGCGCATTTTGAATTGTGGGGTCCAAAGGAACAGGGAGTACTGCTCCCCACAGGGCAATGATACACTCCAGCAAAAAGCTGTAAACATAGTGCTCGAAGTTGCCAGGTCCATCCCTAAAGCTCCCACTGCATAGCATAGGAAACGGGAATGGAAGATCTTCTTTCTCTTGGTGTGTTTTATTTCAGTTCACAAATGGAAAGAAGACAGTTGCTGATCATAGAAGAGCCAGAATCATAAGTTGCTCAAACCTTTGTTTCAGCATCCAGAAAAGCAGGAGACCTGTCTGTAGATACTTTGTTGTCATATGCAGTTATGTCAGTTCTCCTATGTGTGGTCACAAAAGTCACTTTATTCTGAGGTTTTAGCAATTTTTCTGTCTTTTTAAGATTAAGAGTCTCTTATTCCTGAGCCAAAATTAAAATGTTAACTAGCAATATAAATCTATTAATGTCCAACAGTTGTGCAGGAATATTTTGGTAAAGAAATCTACTATATTATTTGTAAGCCATTGCCATTTTTTTTAAGAGAATGTTCTTATCATGAGTAGAGGCACAAAAATAAAACCATGAGAGTATTGTTTCTAGCTGAATGGGGCTAGCATGCTCTATATGAAAACTAAGATCACAAACTCAATGAATTATTTTATAGAGTTACATGGTGAAATACCTCAGTTTCTTCATTGTTACTGCAGAGTGCAAAGCTGCAAGTGTCATTGCTGTGGTTATGTGACAGGGACATGTCTTCTGAGCTATCTGAAATGGGCAAAGACCTGCCTATAAGAAAAAGCAAAGTAAAAGGGGTCATTGAAAGCCTATGAAAATTGCTGAATCACATGTTTCCATACCTATCTCAGAAGGTTTTTTAAAGATGAGATTCTTGCAACACATTGCTGCTTCTACTGATAATGTTTGCTAACAGCTTGTCCATCCTCCCAAAGGTGCTTTGTCCTGGACCAAACTGAAGTGCAGACCACATCTGTTCTCCCACCTTCTGGACTTCCAGGACAACACACTCAGTGAGTAAGCAGGCAACAGCACAATCTGCTCTCCCTCTCTTGTAAAATATAAATTTCTTAATTCTTCTAAGAATCATAGTAGAATTTTAGTCACAACATATTGTCTGTAAGCCAAGAGTTGGGGACAAGTCTCTCCAAGTTGCTTGCAGACCACTCTAAGCAGGCAAAAGGTTCCCACAAATCTTACCTTTTACGTAGGAAGATGAGTTAGGCTCCTTAAAACCACCACTCGGATGCGAGACAGCTCCAGGTGATTTCCTATCATCTGTTGTTCTCCCAGTAGTAGACAGCTGATGTACAACCTGAAGCAAAATGGGGAGGACCTGACATACAGTCATGTTTCACTGTAACATGGGAGATATCAGTGACATGGCCAGAATGGACTTCCCCTTCCTAGGAGTTTAGTTGTCAGTGCGCTGATATGGTATAGGTGTCTAATCTAGGTTCAGACTGTTGTGGAGAAAGAGAAGTGGGTGGAAGAGCTGGAAGAAGCCTCAGACAGGGCCACTCCCCACCACTTACCCTGTCCCTTCTCTTGGGAGCTGCATTTCAGCAGCTCTCGCTCTTGGTCCATGTTGGGTTGCATCACAGCCAAGCCTGTGCCTGGCCATGCACCTCCTTGATCCAAATCCCAACCCTGACCCATGGGCTGACTTCCTGTCATGGCCTCAGACCTGTCTCATCACTATGGGCTTTGATGATTGGGATTCTGGCCTGACCTTGACTTCCATCCTCAGGCTGCCCTCCTCCCTGGCTGGGGCTGTGGGACAGGCCCTGCCGGACCCCATGGGGAGCTCCTGATGCTCCCAGTCTCTGGCCCCCAGGGAGCTGCTGACCTGTGTGATGCCCCAACACTTGGTGCATGTGATTGCCTCTGAACGTTTTCTGAGGGCAAGGGGGGCAGGTTTCAAAGCATTCACCCATGCTCTGGCCTGCAGGCACCCAAATAGCTCAATGTACCAACAGCCTCTAAGATAATTTCTGGCAAAAAACCCTGAAGTACCAGGGAAAGAAGACCATGCAGTAGCTATGTAGGAATCAGGATCCTGATGCAGCTTCTGAACAATACTGTAAAAAGAAAACAAAGGCCATCTAAATAGACCTTGCTACTGACTTACTTTTTCTGGTTCAAAAGGTGTCAGTCTTCCCTGGTGAGGTGTCCTTCTGCCAGTCGGTGTGCTTCTGCCAAGGGAGCAGTTAGATGGTTTCTTTTCTTGATGTTCCTTCGTCAGCAATCTCAAAGGATCAGCCCTTTGCACAGAGCTTTTTATTGCCTAAAATGTTCGAATACATTTGTATTAAGTTGATATAAACATCTTCAAATAACATTAAAAATCCTTCTACAACAGGTGCATCATTAAGTGTTTAAAACTTTTAGGAAAATGTTTATTTGTGTATGTGGGCATGCACACAGACACACACACCTATTTTAGACATAATTCTCTATTTGGTGTCTTATTTTTCTTCCCACATGTCTTTCTACTTGGACAACGGTGCAAGTCAAGGGTAATCCAAGGTGCATAGTGCAAGGCTGCTCTCAGGCTCTCATCCCTCAGTCCCAACCACCCTGCCAACAGCAGGAAAGATATCCCTCTCTGGGATACAACCGAGCTGACCCCAGTAAAATATATAGCATGACAGTCCATTTTTACTTGCCAGACATCCACCCTTTTTACATTTTGCCCTCATACCTCTCCATCAATCAAGGCTGACACAAGCCTTGTAGGACCCTAAGACAGATGTGAGCCACAGAAGGGAAATGAGATGTCAACAGTTTCAAACAAGAAGATATTTAGACTGTTAAGATCACAGTTACCCAAAAGCACTTCCCCAATTTTTCTTGGAGACCTTAGATCAGAGCACAGATGAAACATAAAATATTCCTGCATGTCCACCATGAGATGTATGAGATTTACACAATGACTGTGAGGGGTTGGCGGCTGCAAAGAAAACATTATGTTGGTATGACAGGAAAACTGAGGCTGAGCTCTTGCCTGGTCAAAACTTTGAAAGCACTGAACCTAACATAGAAATGCCTGTCAGTGTGAAACAAAGGCATAGTCTCACTGCCCACATTGCTGAAGTAATCCCAGGGATCACATCTGTGTCTGTCAGAACTGATAGCAGAAGAATCTCTAACGCATTGAGCTGGTGAATGACTAGGAGTGAGCACATGATGGTCAGAAACAAAGAAACATTTAAAAAAAACCCGTGGAAATGGTACCAGGTACTCTGATTTTGAAATGTCTCTCACACCAGAAAGTGGCTGCTTGGGAAGGTGAGTGTAAGCAGTCCATGGAAAGAATGTATTTACCATCAGCTTCATTTGCCCAAGTCTATGAGCTCAAGGGACATGGAACTAGCACAGAACAAACACGGGAAGACTGCACAGTCACTATGGCCATTTTTTGACAGCTGTAAAATTTTCTCCATTTGATCAGTTAAGTTTAGGGGATCTGTTGTCGTTGTGAATGATGATGTCTTATTTATATTAATAAATGACATTACAATTTAATGGATGTTTTTACAAGGAAGGAGCCAAGAAAGAAATCCTACTGCAACAACAGAAAATTGTAGAATTTTAAAAGGTTATGTCTTTTCCTCCAATCATAAAACGGTTCTGAGCAGGAAATAGGCAACTGATTATCTCTTTCAGACAAGGATGCTAAAAGGTAGAGAAATTTTTAGAATTCATTGATAAAGGAGTATGATTTTTATTTTATATTTGGAGATTTTTTTCTGCACAGGTTCTGTGAATATGCCTGAGTTCTCCAAATATAATCATGATTTCAAATACAAGTGAGTAGGCAAACTGTCAAAATATGCCTGGGACTTCAGCTTGAGACAAGTGGTATAGTACTGAAGACCTTTAAAACTATTTTTAATGAAGAGATTATCTCAGAAATTGCAGACCAATAGAAGAAAAGAGCTGCTAAACCACCATTTTATTGCTAAAGATCTCAGGACTGAAACCAGTGATTTAAGAGAACTTGAAAAGCCAGTTTCACAGCGCTCAAGCCAATCTCAGCTCAGATTGCTGGACTCCCACTCCTCTTCCTCCGTCCCCAGCCACATGTTTCCAGCTCCTCCTTTACGTGGCACCAGTAACCACAGACGGGGATTGACCTGGCTCAGCAAGTAGAATCAGGCAAAAATGAACTGCTTTTTTCTGCCTGGTTAGTTTTGATCCAGCTGGCTCACCATCATCAGAAAGTGCCAACAGGGCCACAGCAGCTCAAATACTCATCAGCTTCAGCCAGACACTAACATGTGGCAGCTTTTTTTTTTTTTTTTTTTTTGCTGTGGTGTATTATAGAAAGAATGTTGCGATTCAAGCTTTTAAAGAGCTACAGACATAATTGTAAATAGAAAATACTTTATGGCAAGAGTTTTAACACAGAGCTGCCTAGAAAGCCTATTTTAGAAAAGGAGGCCTCATGAGCTATCTAAAAGTCACCTTTGAAAAGGATGTTCAGAAGTCAACATTTACAGATGCAATGCAATGGGCGATGCCAATACTCCAGGGATAGAGACCTGTATAGGCCTTAAAAATATGATAAAAGGCACAGGTTCATTCTTTCTAACTGAAAGAACTAACAAGCTCATGAAGTAGGATGTATTGGACTGAAAAACTGAAGGAGCAAGATGAAGCCAGAGGGAAAGAAGAAGTGTTTTCGTGAACATGGTGAGTTTTGTTCACGATGTATCTAAAGAACAACCAATTCAGTTGAGGGAGCCTCCGTACAGAGCAGTGTTAGTAAAGGTACCCCAGCTTGCTACATATGCCATTGTTAAAGCTGCTGATTTAATTTTTTATGTATCATATATTACATTGCACATTTTTAAATTATACACTAGCATACCTATTTTTAAAGCAATAACGTAAGAGAAATCAAGACAGGCTTAGTGAATTACGTGTGGTCTCTGTTTTCATACAGATGGATGTCATTCTAAAATATTGTTTCATAAATCATAGCAACCACTGTAACCCAGGCAAGCACTGCAATTTAGCACTACACTTTTTAAGAAACTCAAGTACTAAGTATTTGGGTTAATCACACATGATGAGGTCCTTGATAAAGATTCTATCAATTCCATCTCTTTCATAAACAAAGTCATCAAATTATCTCAATAAATCCTTTTACTTTTCTTCATTGGAAACGTGGATTGCCAGTAAATGCAGACCCTTGATACAAAGGGGTTGCAGAGTCAGAGGAAGAAATGGCCTCCCAACATGCACAAGGTAGGTCAATTGTTTCCCATCTCCACTGAAAATAGAATAAAAATTAATCAGCTGATTAGCTGGTAACAACAAGAGAGATGTATTTTAGTTATGACATAAAACTTCATAACTGAAAGAACAAGTAGGCGGCAGGCAGAAAATGCCAGCTCATTTTGGATCTTTCTCTCTTGGGAGCTAGCGAAGCACAGATTAAATAACCATCAGTGACATTGATCCTGTTTTTGGCAAAAGAAGGGACCAGGTGACCTCTCAAGGTTCCTCCAGTCCTACAAATCTATGCTATCAGGCAGGCAGTGGAGAACAGGAGGAGGTGTTGGTACTCAGGGCCCACCTAGACCAGAGAAACTTTAAAAATATGATGTTTTCCTTGATCCTCATGCTCAACAATAATCCTTTACATTTTCTAATGAGCTTCTTCCTCCCAGATGTTAATACCTCCAGTTCTTCATCATTCTGATACAAATAAAATTGTCCTGGAAATCTCTCAGTTGTCAATTCCCATAAATAAGGATCTCTTAAAACCTTCAAGTATCACAGTTTGTGTCATGTAGAGTTTGCATTCCCACTAACACATCAAAAAGGTGAGAAAAAGCAACAAATACTCATGGATAAAGCAGTGAAAATTCAAATGCTAAAAAAATCTGTCTACATATTCCGAGAACTCATACTTCCCTGCTTCAGAGTTGGCAGGTCAGGAATGGTCAGGAAGAACATTCATAGACAAGGAAATAACGTGCTCAAGGGTCATCAAAATCCCTTGCAAGATTAGACAGCAAAATCCATCTAATAAAGTTGGAAGTAAGCACATTTGACCTTGGTTGAAACTTTTCCAACAAAAACATTAAGAAATGTTATAAGTATACCTTTCAGTAGAACTGCCACTGGTGCAAATCATTGTATCTTTTCTCATAGAAATCACTAACATCTGTCCATAGTTGCATGTCTGGCAGGAAACTGGCAACTCGTTCCTGCTAAACGTATAATGTGATGCATTCAGAAAGCAGCTTGTTTAGAGGAAATTCATATTAATAAATATGAATAATACTAATAAAAATTAACCATTTTGGCCAATCGGTACATTTTTAAAGCCATATTCTGAAAGAATCACTAATGATATGCAGTTAAAATGGACATTTATCTTGTCTCATTAAAGCACAGCTTTGAAGTGGCCAGTTCCTCACCAACTAGGTCATGCTACAGTACGAACAGAAATCATCATTGAAAGTTTTATAGGCAACCAGAATATGTCTTTTTCAGAGATGTAGAAGATCTCTCACATATGGGGGTTTTTTTCATAAAATCATGTCTTCCAAAAGTCTGTGTCTTTAACCTGTACTGATCATAATTCAGACTTGCTCCCCAATTGTTTTTGTACATATCCACAAATTCTATTAGCTTTGACAGAAATAAGTCAGATGTTAAGCATTGTTTTGCCTTCTTGACTACAGCTGATGAAACTCACTAGTCTTAGCTAGCTTTAACTTAAATGTCTTATACAGGTATACACATGTCCCTGTGGCGTGCATCTCTGCTTCTGTTGCTTGAAGTTATCCCATTCTGTCTGATGTGTTCCCATTCACTTTTATGTGTTCCCATGCAGAGTTTCTCAATTACGGACAGAAACAGCATGAGAGTTTGTTTTATCTACATCCAAAATTTGGAATGTCCAGATTCACAGAATCTTTGAGGGAAAGCATGCACTTGCTAGCCAAAGAGCTTAAATACAAAGGAAACACGAGTGAGTCACCATGTTCAGGTCTATCATTATGACACAGATTTTGGGCTTCTGTTTAGTGTTCCATTTACCTGAGCCTTCAATTCTAGATTCAAATAATCGGCAGCCACTATATTCAATGCAAGGCCTTCTTCTGCCATCACATCAGATAAAGAACATGTGTCTCTGTCAAACATTTTAGAGTTCACTCAGGACATCTGGGCACTATGCCCATCAGTCTAGCTCATGCTTGCGCTGGATTCCAGTTGGATTGGATCCAATGCTGGCTGGATGGTGAAAGCTCAGATAACAGCAAGCCCAAAAGTCTGCTGTCCTCAACTTCCCCCTTCCCAGAACTGTTGCTGAAGCCACAATTTTTTTGCACATGGTTGTGTGCCACAGGAGGAAAATGAACACAACGAGTCTTAGGGAGTCTCTATGTAGAATAAATGTTTCTGGTTTGAAGTCATTTCACAAGATTGCTTGAGATGTTCAGATGAAACAAACTCTTTCATACCTTGAAAATTTTCAGGGTGAACTACCAAAGATAGCTTTTTTACTTTATTGTCCACTTTAACTGCAGGTAGTATATTGCACATTACTTGTGTGGCTAGTAATTCCGTCCACCGCAACCCAGTGGAGTGGAGAGATCCCAGCTGTAGTAGGGACTGGGGAGATCTGACATCAGTATAGAACAAATAAAACAATTTCCTGCAGCTAAACCTTCCACCTTCTGACTTACTTATAAAAAACATATATTGTTTAGAAATATAGCCAGTCTTGAACGCAGGCACATAATATCTGCATCCTCTTTGAAGCTACTATTTCACACATGACTGATTCTGCTCTTTTAAGCATATTCAGTTCAGAGTTGTTCTTACCGCTATTTCTTTTCATATCTGGCACCATGCAGGATTCACTGAAGCTACTGTCGTGATTTTCAAGACACACACTGTCATGATCACTAGAGTGGAATAGTTGCCTCCTTTCTCATCTGACATGTTTTATATTTGATTTCAGTCCCTAAACAGGCAGAGCGAGCAGCGTGTTGGCTAATCTGAGCTAGAGTTTACTTTAGCCAGTCGAATCGGGAGATTAGTTTCCAGGAGGTAGGAGGAATTTCAGAGAGACTATTCACTTGAACAAAGCACAGATTTCAGCTGAATGTGGGCAAATGGAAGAGAGGGGACTTGTAATAATCAAGATGCACATAGTAATGAGCAAGAAATACAAAGCCAAGAGAAAGAAAAGCACGATGAGATATCTATATATTCTAAACAGTGACACGGGTAAGAAATCGGTAAGCTGGCTGTGGAGGAGCAGTCATAGAGATACCAGTCAGAAACAAGTCACTTGACATACTCAGTTAACTTGTCACAACTTGTAAAAAGCTAGGTGATTTTCCCACTGAATTCATCAGGCAGAAGGCCACTAGTGCTTATTGGCAAGTGAAGCCTCTAACGGCAAAAGACTGGATTTATGGTTTGTTGAGGCAAGGTATGGTTGTTCCCTGTAAAACCAATCTGTGAAGTAGCAAGTGCAGTGAATTCAGAGCATACCTACAAACAACAGGCAATTCAGTTAGGTATAGAAAAGGAAAAAAAGGGTTTGTCTCCTGCTACTGCAAAACCAGAAGAAAAACTACAAGCAAAGTTATCTGAATGACAGCTCAAGCCCACTGCAAGAAAACATGATCATGCTTATACAGACACGTTCATTTGCACAAATTTTGATTCCAAAGAACATTGTCTTAAACAAATATTTGAAACTGTGGAAAAGTGACTACTGGCAATAGGAATGCGTACTTTGCTATTCACGTCTCTAAAGAAGTGTTTTTGCAAAGATGTCTTCGGGCCCACATGAGAGATGCCGTGGCTCTTGCGATTATCTCTCCGTGCTCTTTCTTCTTGTTTGGATGAAGATGCCGTCTCTTGCAGAATAGCTTCTGCAACCTAATGGAGAATTTGTTATAAATATGTAAGTTCAAGTCACAGCTAGTATAATCAACCAAGCCTCAAAGATTTACTGTTGTAATAAAAATTATGATATTTAAACACAATGAATGAAATTCCATGTCTTGCTAGGGACTGAAACTTCCCAGTATCAGAGACAACAATATTTGTATATGGCATCCTGGCTTCTTTATATGCAGCATTTTACTCTCACACAGGAAAAATCTTGTGCAGTAGTTCTACATTACTAAATGTCCCAAAACAGTCGAAGTAATGCAGAAACCTGGCCTACAACAGAAGTCAATTAGCTTTTTCTTATCCTTGCTTTTATTGGAATTTTTGTATTTTTTCATTCTGTGGCTCTAATCTTTTTTTCTGACCTTAGCAATCAATAAAACAATGAGTCATAAGAACAGGTAGGTTAAGGAAAATTAAAAATAAAGTGGAATGTAACTTGAAATGACATTTTTAATGGAACTTAATAGTGTTAGGTGAAAAATCTCATTAACAAGTGCAATAAAATCAAATAAAAAGAGACACCAAAACTTCTTCACTCCATAAAGCAAAGGACAGGTTAATTGGTGGTTCTAACACCTTTTAAAGATACATTACTAGAAATTAGATTTGCAAATTAAGGGAATACTTGGGAGTAAATGGCTTGATTTTATTTTCTCCTAGGTTCAACCACTCTATGGAAGAGTAGGATTCATCTCACCTGACTGCACTATCTAGAAGATAATAATTTCTTCTAGTTGCCTTGACACACATAGCATGAAATTGATCCCTCTTTAAAGGCACATATTTTTCTCCCTTGAATGCACAGAAAGATGAAATGACCCACTCAAACCAGACATCTGTCTTCTGAATTCTAGCCCAAACCATTTAATTTCACCAAGACTTGCTGTGTCCTGTGTAAGAAGTGGGTAACAACATTTTTCTCCCTTCCTTCACCTCCCTTAAGTGAAGTTACTCAGTTATATAGTAAGGTAACAAGTAAACCTACAAGTATATTAAGCAAATGGGATACCGAATGAGGAATGACAAGAGAATCTGCAAACCTATGATTAGATAGTTTTCATTTCAGGAGATCACTGGAGACATTTACACTAGACAGCTATATTTTCCACCCTGATTGTCTTTCCCACTCCACCCTGGTGTAACTCCCATTCAGGAGGCCAACTTGTGCCTTTGTAAGATAGGCCACTGGCAGTGTTTTCTTCCCAGAAAGTTTACAGCACATAATACGAACTGAAATGAGATTTAATAAAAGGACCCACTATATCTATTGCCAGAAACCAGCCTGCACCTCGCTGAAGAGCGGTTTTATTAAAAAGGTGAATGGTGTTATATACTTAAAGAGTAGAATTCATTTCAGGAGACTTTAGTTGTCTAATTTAGGCACTGAATATAAACATTTACCTAGACTCCCTCCCTAGTTAGTGGAGGGACACATCTGCCCTGATATAAGTGTCTGAGATGATAGGTTGTGTGAATCACCTTGTAGAGGTGCCCACCTCATGGGTAAGTAAGACTAAGTGGAAGAGGACCACGCAAAGAGTATATTTTAACATGGCTTGCTTACTACAGAGCTGATTTCAGCCCCCTTCAGGCTAAGCAAGGCAGGAATGGAGGAACAGTATTCACACATGCTAGCTCCAAAGAAAAGCTACTCCCGAATTTTTCAGACAGTATTAAACAGTTAATATCTTCCAGTACCGGGGTCTCTGATTTTCTGTCCATGAAATTCACAGCTTCTGGGGATTTTTCTGCTTTCCGTCTCTGATGTTCTGAAACTCTGAGCTCATCTCGAAGCTCCATGTTCTGCCTGGTCAGCATCTCAACTTGGTCTCTCAGCTTGCTGTAGGCAGCATGCCAGCAGGACTCATTTCTCTTGAACTCTTCCTGCAGTCCAGCAATCTGTTGTTTTAGTATCTACCAGTAGAAAAAAATTGTGCCATGTCATTGCCTGCTCTGGACTAGGCATGCCCACCTTATACATCCAGAAGGAAGCATGGAGTCTTTTGTTCTGCTTAAAGGTCTACAGTGTAAAGGTCTTCAATATAAAGGTCTGCAATATAAAAAGAACACATTTGAAATTGTTTCTTAAAAAAACCCAAAACACCCCCTCCACCCCAACAAAAAGCCACTACCCTGCAAACTGCTATATATAAAACAAACCGATTGTTACAAAGTGAGCAGGGAGAAGTCCTTGCTGTGTGAAGGAAAACCAGGAAATGCAAAAAAACGCCATTAAATGTGAATGTTTTCAAAAAAAGGCAAGAATACAAGATATATTTTAATGGCAAAATTGTCAGTTCATCAAATCTTCATGTAGTGACAGGGGCTCAAGAATAGTTAAATGGTCTTTACAAACAGCAGGGGATTGCAAAGACGTAATTTTCAACTGAGTTCAGGAAAATTAAAGTAATTAAATTTGGTGCATTTTGGAGAGGACTTATCCATACTCATTATTTTTTCCCTACTCCTTTCTCCTTCCCTCAGCCGTGCTCATGCCAACACTGAGTCCTTTTCCTTTAGAGCATTCATGCTGGATACCGCAAATGGAATATTGGTGGAGTTAAACTAGAAATGTGCAGTTTGCTCTGTAGTCAACCAGTCACCACATGCACTCCTTTTCGCTTCCCTTTCACTTTTGTATCTGTCCACTTGTGTCCTAATCACCATCCTTTCTTCGCTGTGACTTGCCTGGTCAGAATTTGGCATATCCATCAGCCATTTTCAAGAAGCAGATGACTGAACTTGGAAATCACACAGATAAGTGACTCAGTGTTTTGTCATTGTTTTGTGATATATTAAATTTTGGAACCTGACTCATTATGTTATCGGGTAGGAACAAAAGATTAAAACAATTCTATCAAACTTCATCTCTAGGGATAGGGCTAGACCTAGCCAGGAAACACAATTATTCCCTGGCAGAAACTGTATTTTTTTTTTTAATTCCATGTGGAAAGTAAGCTGATGTTTCAAAATATTGTGCAGAGAGGACAGTCAAAATATCTTTATTCAAAATAATAAAATAACTTCACTAAAACTGTTAGCAATTTCCTGTTGTAAATGTTACATATGGAACATGAGCAGAGAAAACACTCACTATGTATATGGTACAAAAATATGTATTTTAAAAATGTAAAAATGAAAAATAAAGAAAGTATAGAAAGTTTGAATAAAGTATGATCTTGCCAGTTTTATTAGTTCTGAAAGTTTTCTGGTGCAGAAAATTGTCAATTTTCTGTCAAATATATCAGTTTGGTTTAGACATCCTTTTGCAAAAGAACATTGTTCCAGACATTTCTGAGCATTACCATTGTCTACTCTTTTATCTTATAAAAATATAGCTTTTAGCTGCCCCAATCTCCTTTATCATTGTCTCACCATTTTTTTCTTCTCTTTATCAATGATTCTTCTAGAAAATTAAAGTCATATTATGTCTAGCTGTTTTTGATAGGGATAACAGCCACAGATATTCAGAGATTACTTTATCACTAAGGAGGCTGAAATAGAGGATTCAAACAGATTAAATCCCCTAAAGAAACTTAGAAAAAACCACAATAGATGAATCAGTGTCTTTATTAGGCAAGTTAGGTTGTTAGATAGAACAGCTAGATATCATAGAATCATAGAATCTTTGGGTTGGAAGGGACCTTTAAAGGCCATCTAGTCTGGCCCCCCTGCAATAAGCAGGGACATCTTCAACTAGACAGGTTGCTCAGAGCCCCCTCCAGCCTGACCTGGAATGATGCCAGGGATGGGGCATCTACGACCTCTCTGGCAACCTGTGCCAGTGTTTCATCACCCTCATTGTGAAAAATTTCTTCCTTATATCTACTCTAAATCTGCCCTCTTTTAGTTTAAAACCATGACCCCTTGTCCTATTGCTACAGGCCCTGATAAAAAGTCTGTCCCCATCTTTCTTATCAGCCCCCTTTAAGTACTGGAAGGCTGCAATAAGGTCTCCCTGGAGCCTTCTCTTCTCCAGGCTGAACAACCCCAACTCTCTCAGCCTGTCCTCATAGGAGAGGTGTTCCATCCCTCTGATCATTTTTGTGGCCAAAATACCTCAAAGCCAAAGGTCAGGATAGTTTAAAGAAAAAAATCAACCAACTCCCAGCCCAGGGATAAGAATAGAGAATGATGGCAAATCAGTGTGCCACTGTCACAATAGCTCTTTATACCAAAAAGATGTAAAGCTTACTATGGCAGGAGTTGGAACTTTTCAACAGCCAGCTCAGATCTGGGCAAATCACTATAAGGAAGTATAAGGAACATGAGAACCTCCCAACCTTCCTTAAGAAACAGAAGGCACCACCTAATTCTTTTCTTATATAAAGGAATTAGGATGTACATTTAAAACACAAACCAAAGCAATGCCCTATTAACAAAAACAAATCTTCACAGTACACACAAGTGTCCTCAGGAATTAGCATGAATAATTGGCCATCTGTGACAAACAGAAGGATTCAGGTACTACCACAAGGTGTCTGCATGGAAGGATGTTAATTGATGAGAACTGCATTTTTTTCCTACAGAAGTCAGCTTACTTGTATTTCTTGTGATTTCACATTTTCTGCAGTGACTCTAGCTGTTCCTTTGAACTTGCTATGGGCAACTTTTTCTTTCTGCAGTGGGTGAATTTGGTCTCTATTGTATTCCAAAGGGTGAGTCAGCTCCTGGCTCCTAACAGTCTTGAGCTGGTCCATTCTTGTTCTGTTCAGAAGGTAAACAAAGAGTATGAAGTTGGCATAAAGACTACAACGAAGGACTGTCTTTAGATGTGTCTTCTTTGGACATGGTTTTTGGAGGGGTTGGGCATGTCCTATATATGCTGATACTGCTGGGAGCGGCAAGTTATCAGCACTTGTCAAAATTGAGGTCCTTCATCACTGGGAACACTCATGCATGCATTCAGCTGCAAAATTTTTTTCTATGGAGCAGATGGAAACAATTCTCATTGAAATTTTCTTACAACATAATGACCATGAACTCAGAGGCTTTTAAATACATCTTCTGTTCAGAGACATAGCTAAATTAGGGCAACCTTGCAGAAGGCACGGCTTGTTCTCTAGCATTGCACCTATGAAGCCTTATCATGCACCTTCATCATGCAAGGCTGGGGACTGAGCTGTATTTCCAACAGCCCAGTCATTACTACAAATCAGAACAGCCAGGGACCTGAATGAAAGGGGATAAAGTACTTTGCTTTCCATAGGTAAAAATACTCCAAGAGTTAAATGTGGGAGCTCAGCACCCAGGAGAGATTTTAACTTTGAACTCAATATCTCAAGGTATGAGTGGTCTGGAAGTGCACTTGAAAACTCAGGACGAGGGAAAGAGTATAAATCTTTACATATCCTCAAATGGAATATATTTGTATGACTATAATCCAGCTGCTAAGTTCATTTTTAATATGATATTAAATTATTTGTTAGCTTCCTGATTCAGATCATTTCATGACCTACGGCCACCACCTGGCCATCGCTATTACTTGAAAAGCAACACGAGGTACAGGAGGCAGCCATGACCTCATGTTTTCCTCTCAGTAATGGAGTTTAGCACTTCAGCAGCAAAATATGAAAGTTCTCAAAGATACTAAGAGATACATGAACTCCCCATATCCTGCTGCTCTTTACCATTCGTTACCTGATTTTTATCTTTTGGTTGTTTTCTATCCTAAATAAGCCCATCTAATATTCTTGTTAAAGGCATGCTAAAAAAAGTCTCAGAAAAAGAAGTATTAATTCTCCTCACATTAATACAGTTAAATTAGCAAATATAGCCCCTGTGTGATTATGTCCAGCCTACCACTGTTCCATACCCAGAGCAGTTGCCCTGAAATACAATATAATAAAACAAAAGCAAGACACAAGATCTATATAACATCTTCCACTGAAGACAGAATAGTACTGTCTTCATTTGCTTGCACCCTATAAATTAAAATCCAGGTAGCTACTCCTTCCAGCATCTCAGCTGATATCAACCTCTTCAGAATTGCACAAGAGTTACATCTGTACAAATATGCTAATCAAAGCTGGAGCATGAACCCAAGTGTGCAATTGTCCAGAGCGCTATATTGCTAGCAGGACCTCTTGGCATCGGCCATCCAGCACTGCACTAGACCATGCCGGACAAGGTTTGGAGGTTAGTGCAGGCCAGGGACCAGGTCCAGCAGACAGCTTGGATGCAGCCACTCTGGTCTGCAGGGCAAGACAGGTTATTCGTATGGAGGTGTTCTGCTGTGCCTCTTTGCCTCAAGGCTAGAAAGCAGACCCTGGCCTGAGAAAATGTAGTTACCAAGGACACCAGGAACACACACAATACTTCTTTGGAGCCTCTGACAGTCAGTTCATACCCCAGCTATAAATTGCAAAGAGGAGCTAGGTGCACACCACAGATATAAAATACATAAAAAAGGCTAAGCACTCAAGTTCTTGCATGTATCCCAGGCACACCTCTGCACAAAGGCAGATCGCAGTGGAGCTGGCTGTGAGGCAAACACATACGTGAAGCAAAAGTCTTTTTTCCAAGGAAAAGCCTTTTAGCGAAATGCAGTCGGGGGAAAAAAAAAACCAACCTGTTGGCTATTGCTGTTGGTCCAGAAAGAGTGCAGATTCAATACCACAAGGAAATTATGTATTAAAAATGGCAAACAAGCTGCCCTTGTTGAAGGAACAAGGAAATAACCATCCTTGAATCCTGTGACTGATGCCAAGAGCCAGCAGCAACTACCTCAGCGCTGCAAAGGTGGACCACAGGCTGCTGCCCAGAGCACTGACCAGGCGCCGCGAGGCACCAGATACACAACACACCACGTCCCAGCTGCTTTCACCCTCTTGCCTGTGTTATTTGTGCCTGCAAAGGTCTGAAAACGAAGCGCTTGGAAACGAAAGAATGGATAGACTGGGCAGGTCCAGGCATGTCGTGCTGCTCTCCAAAGGGTTTTCATTGCTTCCAGCGAGCACAAATTGTCCACATGGTGTCCACACAGTGAAGCGCTATCGATGTGGTGGCCATCTGTGTTCCTAATAGGGTTACTGCTTTAAAAATACAAAGCAGTTTCCGGGATTGCATAAATCGGCACAGGGCCAGCACAGTCAAGGAGGATAAGCTGCCCTTTGCAATTAGTTTTAGCTCATAAATTAGAAGTGAGTGAAAAGATATACACATTATCCTAGGCAGGCATTTTTGTATAAACATCTGCATGGAAATGCTAGGGGCTACTATGGCTAATGACGTGGATAAATCCATGGAAACCTCTTTTAAAAACCTGCACTATTACGAAAAAATGAAAGCCGTGTCATCTGTGAGGCAGCACTGTCATCAGGCAGAGAATGCAGTGTAGCATTGCGGTAATTCTGCACCAGCACATCGCTCCACAGCCAAAATTTACACCAGTAAAAGTAAAAGCAGCATCTAATTTCATTAGTAGTTTTATGAACTACCAAATCCACAGATATTCACACCTGGAACACCTATTGCAGTCATCTGGAGATTATCTTCCAATGTTTGCAAGATCACAAACAAGAAGGATCTTTAATGAAACCATTTCTTTTTTAAGACATTGAAAGTATTTTGCTGAAAGACAGCTATAGGAGGAAATTATAGAAACTGATATATGTAATTCAGAAATATCTTTTGGCACTCATCCCATGGTCTTTGAAATCAAGAGGAATGGACAAGCAGATGTCAAAAGTAATTTCTTACTTTGCTTTATATATTAAAATAAAAATCAAAATCAATACAGTACACTAATTCTGCACTAGCTAAGAACTAGGCTTGAAATGCAAAGAGAAAAGAATCTCTCCAGTGTTTACAGTAGATGGTACCTAGTAATTTCTAACAGATCTCACCACATTAAAAATACATATTTGATTTGATTGTAAGCATGTTCAATATTTATTAGAGGCATTTGCACAACCTGTGAATAGTTACAGCTGCAAATGCACTTCTGTTCCAGACCCCACAGTTTCAAAACTTATTTCTTGCAGGGATTTTGTGGTAAGGAATTCTTTTTCTTCTTTGAAGATATAAACCAAAACCAAACCAAACCAGTTTTCAGCATTTGATAATTACAAAATACAAAAGCGGCTCCTTTGAATTTTCAGGTTCTTCATTTATATGGTACCAAATGCACCCTCAGTCTAGTCTGAAGATAGATATTCCTGAAATAACAATGTTGTTGGCATTGACGTATGCTATACATGTTCTGTTAACTTCAGAAATACGGGCTACCCTGATGTGAATGTGGTATGAGAAGTTTATCCTTTACTCCATCAGAGGCCTGATCCCTGATAATAAATCAAATTATCCGGAGTTCTTACTAATTTCAGTGTAATCTGAAGATGTTCAGCAACTTATAAAAAGCATTTGGCATTACTCAGTTTTAAGACCCAGACTGCACCAGTGTTTTCAGTTAGCCCCCTTCATTAGGTGCTTTACTTCTAACCTAGACAGCTAAAAAAGTGTTTCAGTTCTGAGACAACACAGATGCCCTCGAAAAGAAGGTAGCTAATAAGTAAGAATTTAGCAGCCTGAATGTAGGGCTCTTAAAGGAAATATTTGCCTCACTGCACACACAAATCAATTTCTGGTGTATACAGATTTACCTGCAAAAATGCGTTGTTTTCTCTTGTTCTTCTTTCACCCTAGTCAGTGGAGGGGTTCCTCTGCAATATGCGCCAGTCTCTAGTCCTCTGGTAAGGATCTTCTGGGTTTCGTCTATAAAGAGATCCATGTAAGTACACAGAACTTTGTGAATATTTATGAACCCTCTCTACGTATTTAAAACCACAGACTGCATAAGTGCAGTAAACTTTATTGCTTAATCTATCAAAAAGAATTTATGTATCTTGGCCTAATTATGCAAGTATTCTGTTCCCAGCATAGTTCTTAGTAGTGCAATCCAAGCCCTACAAATCACAATAAGTGAAACGGATTTGGGGATATATCGGTGTCAGTAGCTGAGTTCCTTTTCAGGAATGTTAATGCCATGTGATAGTTCAACCTTATTTTGAATGTAACTTCCAAAGAGGCCTTATGAACCCTTTTTTAACAGCAGCCTGACATGGAGTAGAGTGTGCTTAGCAAGTTATGACAGAGCAATTGAGAGCCCTCAGAAATGAATGTTTCTGCCCCAGCAATTACTGCAGGCTGGACAGCTGATTTTGACTGATCCTACACAAAGAGACAGCCAATGTGTTTGGGATGAGGAGTCAATGTGAGGGAAGTCCTTCAGTGGAAATTAAGAGAGAAGAAAAGTCAAGAACCAGTTTCTTTTATGACTAAATCCTGCTCAAGCAGGATACCATTTCATTGCCAGAAGTAAGATCACTGGGCCAAAAGGCCAGAAAGATTGGTTGGCCAAAGAACTGGGACTACATTCGGGACAAACTGAGTGAAGACATTCTTAGGAAATCATCATTTTCCACTGATGTGAGGCTCTCTGTGTCTTAGGAACAAAACATGCAAATTTGAGAAATTATTCTGCCCACCTTTTTTAAAGTCATGTTATCTCTGAAGAGGGTAAATAGAAAATGTGAACATCTCAGTGTCAAGGCAAGTGGTCAATGGGAGGAACATACTTAAGCTACAGGGACCTCTAGCACTGACACCAGGGACTCACTGAACCTCATGGAGTCAGAAGTCTGCACCTGGAAGTGCAACTCAAGCAACAGACTTAGGAAAAATGGCTGGTGATGATGGAGAGCCAAGCATAACAAGGGGCTTCCAGATATATCTCTCCCCTTTTCTCTTTTTTTTTTTTTCAGATTAAGACTGAGAAGTGGGCAGGTGGGCATATACACTGACAGGTGGGCATATACATAGGGAGCACATGCAGAATGAGTCATAAATCCAAGAGAATTTTTTTCCCCCTATGGAAAATAAATGTAAATCAAAACTCAGGTAACTCTTACCTAATGCGTCTGTAAACCGTTTTTTCTGTGGTTCCTCCACCACAGGGGTTTCTTTAATCTTGAAAGCAGGAATCTCATCAGCCACTGTTGAGGATGGCAGATGTAGGCTTTTAACATCCCTGGCCCTATTCTCATTCTTTGATTCAGGCTCATGCTCTCTCCTTTTCGATCTTGTGAGATGAAATAGGGACTGCTGAAGAGAAGAGCAAGCTTTGTTCCCTTTCAGCCCAACAGCCCCAGTACTGGAATCACTGCTGCCTGTGCTGCAGTAGAGATCTTGTTGTTTTGAAATGGCTTGATCCTCTTGTTTCCTTGGGGGTGAGCTGATATACCTTTTAACAGACATTTTTTCAGTTCCACTGGGCTCATCGCTAGCATAATCACCGTCAGAGAGATCGAAATGTCCATCAGTATGATCTACTCTCTGAGGCCCATGCTGGGAGGGATACTGAGCTTGCTGAGGTTTGGCGTCATCATCACTGCTGGAGGATAAACAGCTTGACTCACAGGACAAAGATGCAACATGCCACCT